AGTTTTTCTTAGGAAGAGGCTGCTGATGCATGGCCTCCAGAGACTCAGTGTCGTATTTTGAAATTAGTTTTGGGGTTGGGTGGGTCTTTTGACAAAAACAGGAAATGCGCCGCAGACGACATTTATTTCTCGTCCAAGGTGAAATGCCTTCATTGGACGGGTAAAGACAATTGCATTTATATCTATATTGTTGTGTTCTATGGATAAATCTTGGTGACGTTTTTTTTTCCTATACTAAGTATATTCATTATTCATTGCTCAAATTTTTTCCTGTGATTGTGATTCTATATAAATGTCATATAGATGTAAAAATGAATATCGGGGAATTGACTTTTCATCTTTGTCATTTCGATTACTGTTCCTTAATGTTGCCACATTGCAATATGCATCTTCAATTCTCTGAATCTTATAGGGTGGACACGACCCATGCACCCGCTCCCCCTTATAGTTTCATGACGCCAATGCAGTGGTAACGTTAGTAACGTCAGAGATAAGTTACCAGACAAGATACGCAAGTCCGGTGTAATTTCAGGCAATATTTTTTTTGAAGTTCAGGATCTGAAAAGTAATGTCGCTTGGGAGATAAGCTCCATTTGAAATACAATTTGCCGGCGAAACCCTCGCCGATCTTCGGGCCTTGTTCGGGCCGCTCGTAATTAACGGTGGTTCCTTTTCTTGCCTTCTCAATTCTCGGAATTTCAGCTTTAAGCATTTGTTTGCGTTGGTGGAGTTGTTTTTTGTTTGAGATTGAAGTCTTTGATTTTGATTATTTTGTCGAAAGTGTTTGTTCTGATATTTCTCTTGATTTTTTTCATAGTATTATTGTTTCTGCCTTGTATTTGTGATAGTGCACTATGTCTGGAAATGTGTGTGCGTATTTGAACTGTGATAGGACACGTAGAATGGTGAAAAACTTGAGCATGTTTCGATTTCCTATAAAGGATAAGGAACGAGCCAGAAAATAGATTATAAATTCTGGTAAGTGGTGATAATGAAATGTCGAATAATTGCATCAATTTCATGTAGGTACCATCACTTAACTATCACAAAAAAAGTCTTTGATCTGATTCATATTCAATAACATAACCTAAATGTGAGAATCTTGAGCAAGCTCTTTACTGTGTCTTAAGTGATTTGAAAATAAAACCTTTCATCCGAGTCACAGAGTGCATTATTTTTCTAGAATGTACTTATTTTATACCTATACTATTTTCATTTTCTTCTTGATTCGAGCTCTGATCATATTGAAATGAACTATATTTTTCAATTATAGGTAATGTCACTCTGGAACAACTTTCTGAGGAGGAGTTGCACAAAAGAGTTCTTTGTGAACATCATTTTCTGGAAAGTGATTTCATGCTTAGGGCTGGAGTGGGAACTCGCCTCAAATTGACAGCTATTCCAGTCATACAAACATGACACTGCTGTGGATTCAACTTCAGATAAATGTAATGTGAACAAACCTACTCACACCTATTGTGCACCTGCTGGAGTGAGCCCTAGGGTCAAAAGGAAATTATTTGAAGAACATTCATATAGTAGCTCTCCTTCTTCTACTTCAGATCAATGGTTACAAGACCTCATTGACATGCCATCTCCACCAAAGAAAATCAAGTCAGACCCAACATTAAGATTGAGGCACGTTATAGAAGAACAGAAGAAAGAAATGAAAAGCCTGAAGGACAAACTGCAGCAGAAGAATAAAAAATGGAAATCTACTGTGAGAATTTTGAAACATGCTATGCCTGTGGAAATGCAAATACATAATATGGATTTTCTCATGAAGTGGTCAAGAACTGTTATTAAAATGCAGTTGAAAAAGGGCCACCGTAAGTGGCATAACGATGAAAAACACTTTGCACTTTGTTTCTTCTATAAATTACCAAATGCATATCGATACCTCAGAAAACATATTGTGCTTCCCAGTGAGAGCACAGTAAGAATGTGGATTGGTAAATCAAAATTTTTGACTGGAATAAATAAACAGTACAAAACCCAACTGAGGCTGAAGGTACAGGCAATGACTGAAGAAGAAAGAGCATGTGTTTTATCATTTGATGAAATGTCCATTAAAGAATGTTTAGAGTACTCTAATAACTTGGACGTCATAGAAGGTCATGAAGATATGGGGCATTTGGGAAAAACACAAAGAACAGCCAAATATGCTTTGGTATTCATGGCTAGAGGGCTATACTCTTCTTGGAAATTACCATTGGTCTATTACTTGAGCCATACAGGAGCACCTGCAGAATATTTGAAAAAAATACTGCACAAAGTATTGGAAGTTTGCTTTCAATGTGGCCTTTTCCCCAAAGCCATTGTATGTGACCAAGGAGCCAACAACCAGAAGTTGTACAGACTACTTGGAGTTTCCAAAGAGTGTCCAAAATTTGAATTTAAGGACTCTTATATTTTAACATATAAATTGAACCAAGATGTTCTGGAAAACCTATTCGCTTCATACCGCCAGAAAGGGGGATATAATATTAATCCCACATCCAGAGTCTTTCGAACACTTTTTCGATCAAATTCCATTAATAATTTGATCAAATCAGTCTCAAGCTCAAATTATGAAGACCATGATGAATATGTTTTATTATGAGAAGAATTTTCAAGAGCTCAGGGACCTGATAGGACAGATGGGAAAGAAAAGTGTGAAAGTGAAATGGGTGAAAGTGAAAGTGGTGAAAATTCAGAATGTAGGAGTGATGTCACACTATCACCGTCCCGTCGCATTTATAGCTCCTCAGGTTCTGGGGAAAATCTAGAAAAATGTGCTACTAAATATTTTGCTGGATATTTGGCACCAAAAACTATGAAAAAGTTCAAATGTGAACATTGCAAAGACTCATTATCATCAGACAATATTTTTCTGACAGATTCTAATAAAATGTTGATATTTCATAGAATGTATGAAAATGTTATCAAAGTTGATTCATTAATTGGGTTAAAAGCACCATCTGATATACTGTACAAAATGACCAGAAGTGCATTGACTGTATTTGAAAAAATATTCCCTAAAATATCTTGCCGGAAAGGATTTTTTTAAATACTTTTGAAAAATATTCGTAAGAAAAAATCAGTAAGGTCATGCTTTGATAAATGTGAAGCAATCTGTGGATCACACCTTGAATTCTTATTGAATCTTTCAGTGAGGACTAAAATTTTTAAAGCCTGCAAATGGTCAATGACATTTTCAAAGAATGTTCAAAAAAAAAGGAAGCCGTAAATTGAATATTGTCCAGCATATATATCGGATAATATACTAGATATTAGAGATTATATAGACCATAATGTGAACAATTTCTTTTTTTTTTCTCATGAAAAAATATTATATTATTCTTTATGCTTCATTTCATAGTTGATCCTTGATCTAATTGTATCATAATTGTTAATATTTCCCTTGTTATTCACAACTGTTTTATCATTATAGCCTTCATGATTTGTACATGATTTCAGGCTGTTATATTTTTTATTCTTTGTAGATATTCCCAAGAAACAGACTGTGTAAAATATGTGTACATGCAAAAAATGTAATTTAATCAATCAAACAAATTTGGATAAAACTACCTGAATATTTCAGAAACTTGGAGTACCAACTAATCAAAAATAAATTCAAACTTCATCTTCTTGATAGAGCATATACTATGATTTGATTGATTTCATTATATTGATCATTCAACAACATCATTTCAACAATATATCACCAAATAATCTGACTGTAAGCATTTGTTTAATTTTATACAATGTATGATTGTTATCTTGCCTATCAATCAGCAATTTGAATTATATATTATATGCATATCTGTATTTTGTGTCATAAAGATGCTTCATGTTAATTGTTATGTTGATATAATTGTTTTGATTGATTTAACATGTAAAAATGTAAAAATACTTGTAAAAATGATTTGTTATATTGAAATATTTTAACTTGATGTGTTTTACACCTGAAAGGTATGATTTGGAACAAATTGACTACTTAGGTATCTATATCTTTTATCTATATAATTGTATGACCATATTTTTTGGAAGAAATTAAACAACAACAGGTTACAGATCCAATTTGTATTAAATTGAAAGAATATTCAAATTCAGGATGGCCTCAAAGGAAGTTGATAAGTTCTGAAATTTCTCCTTATTATCAGTATAGATTTCAAATTTCCGAATGTGATGGGTTCCTCTTGGGAGGAACGCGATTAATTATTCCTAAATCAATACAAACCAAGTGTCTGGGATTTATACACCAAGGGCATCAAGGGATTGTAAAATGTAGAGCTCGGGCAAAATCGTCTGTTTGGTGGCTAGGGCTGTCAACAGAAATTGAAAATTTAGTTCGCAACTGTCCTCAATGCATAGAACACCGAGTGAACATAAAGGAACCGTTTATCAAAGAAAAATTTCCTGATCGAGCCTGGCAGAAAATCGCCCTAGATTTATTTAAACTCGATCAGTGGTACCTTATAGTGACGGACTATTTTTCCCGATTTTTCGAAATATTCAAACTCACATCACTTACAGAAAAAACAATCATCACCAAGCTGAAAGAATTGTTTTGTAGATATGGAATACCCGAAATAGTGAGATCAGATAACGGACCACAGTTTCAAAGTGAATTCAAAAAGTTTGCCCAGGATTATGATTTCGTACACATAACTAGCAGCCCGTACTATTCACAGTCTAATGGGTGCATAGAGGCCGCAGTTAAGACGGCAAAGAATTTATCGAAAAAGGGTGAAGATATTTATTTATCTCTTCTGGCTTACCGGACCACACCTTTGGAAAATGGGTTCAGTCCTTGTGAATTGTTATTCAATCACAAAATTCGATCACCACTTCCAATTTTTCCAAAATTGTTGAATCGAAATGTTGATACTAGTCCTATTTTTGGAAGGGAGGGAAGGTATAGATAGAAAATAAGTACAAATTATAATAAACGACATCGTGTGAAAGATTTATCTACACTTAATGTAAACGATGGTGTTTGGGTGAATGATTTGAAAATGTATGGCAAAATTCTGAAACAATTAGAAGAACCGAGATCTTATTTGGTTGAAACCAAAAGTGGTACATTCCGAAGGAATCGGTGGCATTTAGTTCCCGCTCCTTACTATCAGTTCACACCAAACAATTTTGAATTTAGAAATCAAGTCACTCCAGCACTCTCGGAAGTAGATGATAATGCTCGCGGTAATTTGAATGTGAGTACTAATGTACCCAATGCTCACAAATTTGATGTTAACCCTGAAGTAACAAGCGAGAATGATAATGTTCGTGAAAGTTGTGAAGATAGAGTTTGTGATCCGGTTAGTGAGGTCCAAAATAACGACAGTGCTAGTGTTCGCTCTCGATCTACTCGTATAATTAAGAGACCTTCTTATTTAAAGGATTATGTATCTTAATAGGCACCTTTATATAAAGGGGGGGATGTTCTGTTAGGTTCACTTGGCAACCTCGCACATAATTTGTGTGTTTACGCTACGAGACGACTACGGGGGTTTGTATTCTACGAGACTACGGTTGTTGTTGTATTGCTGTCTAGCTAGAGTCGACCATTAAACATTTCTAAGAAGAATGTTATCTTATTTCGTAATTCTCGAACCCTAATTAAACACTAACCAAAGATTTTTATTCTGACACACGTTGTGAAAAGAAAAGTTTCATCATGATTTTAAATCAACAACGTTTTTGATATTGACCTAATATTTTAATTTTTTGAATTTGTCATGTTCCAGATATGTTATACAAACGTTTTTTTATTTATACATCACTTGTTAGTAACATCAATGTAACCAACCTCAATGAGTTGTAAGTACTGCACCACTTAGTCAACTAGCTTTGCTTATAATTGTTATAACATTTTGTAGTCTGGCCCTGAGGATGGAAATTAACTTTCCGAAAGCTTGGACGAACTTGCATGAGTTTCACTTTTACTTGCTGCTTCCCCACTACTAAGTTTCATATATATATTTATATATGTAAGTGAATAATTAGGAAGAATCACGAAGCTTCAGTATGAACCTGTCGCTTGTATGTGATATTGAACCTAAAACTAAGTAGTATAACATTATAGTATACATTGAGAAAAAAAACATATTTTGAAGCATATAAGTACTTAAAATATGATCTTGTTAAAATAAATTACAACTAATGAGGAGGAATGAAACCAATTACTCTTTTTACATCAATCCTCACATGCGAAATAGAATAAGTTGCTCATAATTCTACTGAATGCAGTTGCTTCTTGCCTTTGGAGAATGCAGGAATTTGTAAATCAGCTTTGAGGGGTTCCAGATAATCTTGTATCAAGAAACCTCTATCTGCCAATATCACATCACCTAAAAATAATTGGAAACATAAAATATGAAATTTATGAATATCAATAAAACTCGGTAAACCTGGAATAATATTATTTAGGAATTTGGAATTTATAACAATATGCTGGTCAGAAGTTCTACCACCCCATGCTTCACTAATGGAGCTCACTGTTCCTTGTGGTGTTATTCCAATCAGATATTCAATTAAAGGAGGAAGGAAAGCTCAAAGTCATCTCCACAACTTCAATATTGATGTAGTTATTCAACGGGATATGTTTCGAACTTATAAAAGTCCATCTTCAGCCGTATTTTAGAAATTACTACAAGTAAAGACATGTGAAAATATACAAAATGTTATAAGAAAAATTTGACTTATATGGAGGTGAACATTATTTGTTTTAACAAAGTTGCCAATGTCTCTCATCATAATATCATTGATAAGAATATTAATAAATAATTGAAAGAAATAAACAGGTTTTCAATCAAAATGAAGGGCCCCGTGCCCTGAGAACGCGCACTTGTGAAATAAAATCAAAAGTCAAGTCCCTTGAAGGGAAACTTGACGAGCACACAAGGTGCTCTAAATAACCATTTTGGTGTATTACAGGAAAAGGGGTCCCGTACCCTTGAGAGAGCGCACTCAAATATCAAAAATCAATTTAGAATTGATGGGGCCACATGCCAAAGAACGTGTTGAATCCAACATAAGGTTAGAAACACGGAATTAATTGCAAGAACCTTGACATAAGTCAAAGTCTTAATGACATGATATTATAAAAAGTGACATAGGACACGGAATTAAAGTAAACAATGGGATGAATGTGAATTCCACTAGTGGTAGTACAGTTAGAAATAATCAAACAGAAATGACAATGAGAAGATTTGAGGGTGGGAGGAGGAACATTCCAACGAGACGGTTAAGTAGCAAATCTGAAAAGCAAATGAATAATGATAGTTGAAAGAGACCAAAGTAGGTGCCAAACAACATAAAACTAAATTTGGTTATTGGTAAAATCTAAAGAATTGAAAAATTCAACACAATCATAGTTTACCTGTTCATTAAGGGATGTGACGGAATAATTGTTCAAAGCAGAATTTATTTCAAAAATTTCTAACAGATTCAATAAAGTACCTTTCTGACAAACATGTAAGATTTCCAAATCTTGATTCATGTCAAAATTAGGTTCAGAATTTAGTATATGGTTAGCAAAGGAACTCTTAGTGTTATACTCATCTAAAATCAGAGGGGAGGTTTTGGATTTTTCTATGGTTTTTACATGTTCCAAGACTCTAGTTGAAATCCTTCTACCACTTTGGCCAACATACTGTGCATTGCAGTCAGAACAGGAAATGCTATAGACACCAGATTTGTGATTCAAAGGAACTTTGTCTTTTGTATTAACTTAGATTTTTGTAATATTGTCAATAGTGTAAAAAGAAATATTTATATCATCCATAAAACGATGAAAAATATTTTTAATATTGAATATCATCAATATCATGTCATTGGGACTTTGACTTATGTCAAGGTTCTTGCAATTAATTCCGTGTTTCTATCCTTATGTTGGATTTAACACGTTTTTTGGCTTATGGCCCCATCAATTCTAAATTGATTTTTGATATTTAAGTGCGCTCTCTCAAGGGTACGGGACCCCTTTTCCTGTAATACACCAAAATAGTTATTTAGAGCACCTTGTGTGCTCGTCAAGTTTCCCTTCAGGGACTTGACTTTTGATTTTATTTCACAAGTGCGCGTTCTCAGGGCACGGGGCCCTTCATTTCAAATGAAAACCCGTTTATTCCTTTCAATTATTTATTAATATTCTTATCAATGATATTATAAAACATCGGCAACTTTGTTAAAACAAATAATGTTCACCTCCATGTGAGTCAAATTTTTCTTATAACATTTTGTATATTTTCACATGTCGTTACTTGTAGTAATTTCTAAAATACGGCTGAAGATGGACTTTTATAAGTTCGAAACATGTCCCGTTGAATAACTACATCAATATCAAAGTTGTGGAGATGACATTGAGCTTCCCTTCCTCCTTTAAAAATTCCACTCCACTTTGAGCAAACATGGACTTCTACCAGAGATTAGATATTCAATTGTATAATGATGATTTTAATTTGACCAGCACTGATCACTTCTGAGTAAATCTGATAGTTTTTCAATAAATACTTCGAAGCAATCTATTATAACTGATATTCTCGTACCAAAACTATCAGTGAAACATGTGGGCATGGTTTTCTACAAGATTTCTCTACTTGGCCATACAATAATTTTTTTCAATCTAACATACATTATCCCAATGATAGCTTTGAAGTAAGTAGATGCTGTAGTGGTACTGATGCCAAAACCGTATGATAAGTCTTTGAAATCCAAATTCAGTCTCAACTCAATAATAGTGAGCAGCACCTGGTCATGTACAGGTGAACTAGTATAACAATGAACAGGAACATGGTCTTTCAAAAAATTAAAACACGACTGTACTCTGTCAATCTTCGCCACCATTTTTTTTGTGGATTGAAGTGATATCATTATTTGGGAAAAACCTTCCGCTGATATATTTTTCTGACACTCTTTTTCATTTTGATTTCTACTTGTTCCATCTTCCGAAAGTTCAACATCTTCCCCTTCATTAGGACCCACAAAAATCATAAAATACATACTTAAAGTAGAAATAACTTCATTCAACCTCAGATATTTACTGTGTTCATTCCTAGACGAATACTCCCTATGAACATAATAATGATGATAATAATAATGATAATAATAACAATAATAATTTTTTTTGATGTTGCATCAAGAACAGTAGATTAACAGTTTTACAAATATTATACGTATTAGTCTGACACCAAATGAATGAAATATGGAAATGAATATAATTTAGAATATAAATGGTATAATAGTTTGAAAACAGTTACATCAACAATGATAATAATAATTATAAAAAGTACACGAACATATAATTGATTAGGCATAATACGACTAGAAATTGATTTTTTTTCGATGGATTCAAAGTCAATTGAAAAATGTATGTATAAGGGTCCTCTGATTGCTCAGTAAAAATGACTTTATTTTGTTTCCATAATAGGGTTCAGAATTACAGTTGTGGTATGAAGAAGTTTCTGAGATGAAATTCAAGAATCGTGGTCCTAGAAACGCCAAGCATTTGGTACCGACTGTTTTATTTCCTGAAGGGGTTTTTACTTTATTAGCATATTTAGCTCTTGTTGAGTAATTGTGAGAGATAGTGTCAATATCCTGCTTATTTTTGAAAAAGAAACATACAGCTTTAAGGAAAACAGTTTGGCGAATATCTAGTATCCCCGCTTCTTTGTACAGGTTATCTGAAGGTTAATTTCTATCATTCTGAAATATAATCTTGAGGAAGTATTTTTGTAATACATTCAACTTTTCTAGATATATATTCGCGATACCTTCCCATCCTATAATTCCATATGTTATACAAGAATCTACAAGAGCAAAGTAAAGCATTTTGAGGTGGTGTAAGGTCAGAATTCTAATAAGATATTTGAAACGGCCCAAGAAAGTTCTCAATGTATTCACAATGTTGTTGACTTGGTGATCCCAACAAAGATGACAATCGATAATTATCCCTAGATATTATGGATATGGATATTCATCTCTAGTGAGTTATAATGAGGAAGATTATTTTTGTAGCTTGTTATAGGGAGAAACATCGTTTTATCAAAATTTATTGTAAGTAACTTATGACTTAACCAATCAAATATGGTACTGATTTCGTACTGAATTTTGTTCTTTAGGTTCTCCCAACTATTTGATGTATAGAATAATATGACAGACAGTATCGTCTGCGAAGCTTACTATGGTTTCATTTGTTCTGACAGGAGAAGGTTTACCAACTTACTTTGGGTGGTCTGCCAACCGTGCGGTATAAGACCTGGTTTTTTGGGTATCCTCTATCTAGCGCAGCCACTGTCAAGGAGAACTCCATCCCAACGCTACACTCCAAAAGTTTGCGGAAAAAGTGCATCGCCTTTGTGATTAATTTATTGTATTTTGGTTATTATTTACAGTTATGTTTTTCTATTCT